GTGAATCAAGTTCAATTTCGTTTCGTTTGCTTGAGCCATTTTGTGAGGTGACTGGCCAGTGAGGGTGATAAGGTGTACGGTGGGGGTACAAGTGGAGTTCTACAGACCCTTATATGTGGTCGACAGAGTGTCGACAGGAGGTCACATATGGCAAACGACTTGGTTTTGGAGCCAACCTGTATCCTTAACTGTATTGTTACTTTTACACTCGTGATTTGACATCCTTGTGACGTACTTGTTCATCTTATTGTGAAATTTACATTTTTACCCCTGTTTATTTACTAAGTATATAGCTTACCCCTTTCCCTTTATTTTCCTTAACAGGGGCCGTCGTGGGGAAAACTTTTGGCACTATTCCTAGAATAGTTAGGCTTGGTTTGTAATAGCCGGATAACTAAGATGTTCCTTATTGTTTTGGTGATCTGTATAAGGACCCCTCTTTGGGTCTACTTTCTAATTTTGTATACTAGCATAGGATAATGTAGTAGTCTGGATAACTCCTTTTGAGGAAGTAAATAGAACTCTTTTGGGTTGTATATATTGTGAATAGTATGCTTTTGGTTTATTTAGTTTTATTGCTTTGTGTTTTGAGTCCTGGTGCGAGTTAAGCAGGCGTGTCGCCGATACCCTCGGGTTCGTCCTTGGGAGAAGTGGAGGCGTCACAGGTGGTATCAGAGCGCCTAGGTTAGAGGACTTGGGCAAGTGGGACATACGTGATAGGCATTACATATTCTTATTTAAGATAAATGGTATATTTTAAGCTGAAATGCTGATGAACTGACGACTTAATGTTTTGTAGGTATGGATCCGGGTAGTTCTAGTGGTGCGGGACCCAGTTTTGCGTGGGACCTGTACCAGGGTCGAGACCTCCGAGTGTAGGGGGTCTGGTGGTACGCCGACCAATGAAATGATGACAGAACGTCGTGTTCCCTGTACCAGCAGTGATGCAACTTGGCAAAGGATGCAGTAAATGTTCAGCATTATTAGGGGCCATTGCTGCTCATAGTTCATGAATCCACGCCAAAATTATTACCATGCTGATGGAGAATTGCATAAGGTGATGGGGATGTGGATTGGGACTCAAAGCATGTTTTGTCTATTTGCACATATTCCTCCTTCCAATCTTGACCGACTTCACAGCGACCAAATAATTGAAAATACTTCCTTCACAGAAATAAAATACTAGGTTACGATGAGAAGTTGGTCCAATGGTGGTCATTCATTGTTGCTCATGCAACCATCGAGGTGATTGGTGAAGGGAAGAAAGTGTTGTCACCCCTTTTAAACTAACGTGAAAATTTGTGGAGAAGTTTCTGAATCTTCAGCTCCTCAAGTTTAGGAAGATCGAAATTTAAAGAAGTGTTGTATGGAAGAAAATCTCAATTGTTGCTTGTATTATGAACAACAGCCCTTGGGCCATTACCATTGTATTGGTTTCTTCTTGTGTGTATCGGGCATGAGTTTTGTCACATTGGGGCACTAAAATTTTGACAGTTGCTACATTCATCGTAAAAGATGGAAAGGTTTAATACTTATAATCCTATAGGAATTGGAACAACTTTGTCACTCCAAATCTTATCAGAACAACAATGTCGATCCAGATCCTGACTACGTTTCTACAACTCTTGAATATACACCATTTTTTGTTCATGAAAGCAACACATTTTATCAGAATCCTTTTTTTCCGGATAAAAGAATAGCCATTTGGCTTGTTCATATTGCTGACAATGAAGCTAAAATATGAATAAATTGAGCTAGTAAATTCTCAACCTTTGAAGTTTTAAAAACTGACCGAGTCTAAATTATTAACACTTCTGCTGGAAATGAGAGGAAAATTTTTGAGGATTTCCAGTCCTCTTACATTAGTTTATGTAGGGGTTATCTCAAAAAATCGAATATGATTTGGATGGAGAGTTGGAAAAAACTAACAAAATGAATATGATTGTTATCCATTTTGGTTCAAATTGTTAAGAAACTTCTGAAAATGTGATAGCCCAAAAGAAAATTGAAAAGATTTGTATAGATCTTCAAGATTCAAATATGATTGCTCCATCATAATTCATCTATTAAAACAAAAGGAAGCATGCAGTAGATAAAACAAAATCCTGCAAACTATTTCCTATAACACCAATATTAAGCAGCTATATCACAATCTCAAACGTACTGCAACCTTCACACCTGATGTACAAGGCTGTCAGTCCAAATCTACTCTCAGTACAGAACTCAGGTCTCAATCTGCAACCTCTATCAAGATGTTCCGCATGAGCTTCAGCCAACCGAATTCGTAACAGTTCTAAATTTACCTGTGGAGACGCAAAAACATATCAGTGATACAGGAAAGGTAACACCTAGTTCTTGCCATGCTTGACATGCTGCATGTCCTGAACAACTGAACAATCATCTAGAATTTTCCTATACCAGAGGAGGGTCGGGGAACCCTATAGAATATATTCTCCTTTTGGCCAGAGGAGTCGATTGCGTGAGTGTCGATATACGTATGGATACCCAGATGATGTGGTTATGGCTATAGATGATGAGCGTCGTCACCTAGGCAGGACAGTCGACACTTTGAGGGCACAGTTGGATGAGGCCAGAGGGGTGAGTCATGCACAGGCCATGCGCCTACGTGACCTCGAGATGAGGTTACGAGCTGAGAAGGAGCGGACGCATACCCTTGGTCGTCAGCTTGAGAAGACCCACAGCCACTTCTTCGCTTTGAAGAGGCAGATGAGAGAGAGAGAGCCCGGGGTATCATGCTGGATTGTGAGGTCCTATTAGATGTTGCAGCGGAGGCACCACCACGAGCTACCGGCCCAGAGCTGATGGACGAGGTGGATACTTTAGATTCCGTTTGTGAGAACCCAAAAATTTTCACATTTTCTCAGCATTATTTTATTCCTTTGCCTACATTTTATACTTTCCTTGGAAATATTAAAATTTCTATGCATTTTTACAAGTAAGTATAGTTTTAAAATTATTTTCCTAGTATGAGTTAGTGTACGTTGGTTTAAAGTACGTTATAGACGTGGGACCCACTAGTGCGATATAATTTTGATAACTAAGTGAGTTTTGTGCTAAGTGTTATTATTTTACAAGGTGTTAGGAGATAATTGGAGGTTAGTTAGATAGATTATCATTGAGAGACAAGAGGATAAGTTTGAAAATAAAAGGTGCCAAGTGTCGCGATTTGGTTGGTGTTGGGACTTTGACTATTTTTTTTTCCACCTTTACTAAACATAAAATTTGACCAAGATCATCTTCATCTTCTCCATAAGTTGGCTGAAAATTTTGAGGGAAGGAAAGGGAGAGAAACTCTATTTTTCACTTCAACTTCTTGCTCCATATTGAACTCCAACCAGAAATTTTGCAAAACCCACCATAAAAGTGCTAGGTAAGGTGGTTTTCAGGGTGTTTGTGGAGTTATTTTTGGAGGACAAAACTTAAGCTACCATCTTCCTTAGGGAGATAAGGTAAATTTTCAAGAAACTCCTTCTTTACTTCAATTAATGGGCAATTTGTGGTTATAGTTGTTGAATTAGTAATTTTGTGAGAAAATTGCATGGGTTGTAGCGGGTTTATGGATATTTCAGTTTTCTTGGTTAAATTTCTGCCATAATATGAAGATTGATGATTAGTCATGGTTTGATAGTTTTGATATATGAAATATCTAGTGTTTAGATGGTAGTTGACTTGGTTTAAAGAAAATTCTGGTTTTCCAGCTTAGGGTTCCATTGGTAGTAATCTGCCTTGTTCTGCCCGAATCTATTTGGCCATGTTAAAGGCCGAACTAGCCTTATCACAAAACATGAAAGTTGTAAGGAATGATGTTTTATAGTTGCCTACAAAATTTCAACTCAATCGGAGCAATGTAGCCTATGAAAAGACAAAAATACCCCTGACTCTCATAGGTTTAGTCTAGTGGACAATTTTTGTGACGCCCCCACTTCTCCCTAAGGCCAACCAACGGGTATCCGCGGGACGCCTGCCCAGCTCTCGCCAGGATTCAAGCAAATTACATTCAAGTTTATAACGGTACTAGACATTACACCCAGATAATATAAATGCAATTTGTGCGGAAGCGTTCAAGCTTAACAACGTTTAACAATTACCAAATCCATATAACGGGTTTCCAAATACATCCCATAATATACAATAGCCGAAAAGTTTAGACCATAGAATTGGAACCCTATTACAAAAGTTGACAAAAGTACTAAAAATGGAAATTTCCTTCGAGTCTCATTCCAAGCCCAAACCTGTTAAGGAAAACAAATCTTTAGGGTAAGCAAAACACTCGTGAGGCCAAGAATACACATGCAAGCACATTGTTCAAGTAACAATCCCAAATTGACAAGTCGAGCAATAATATATACATGATTAACAATTTACGAGGAAAGTAACCATAAACAATTCAAGGATACTGGAGCCCTCAGGAGCTGTGTTCCACTTGCACGATCAATAACCTCCACGAGTTGACATTCCGTCAATCGGGCAGGTTTAGTCCGTAGAACTCCACTTAACCTGTCCCCTTTCACCTTACATACCCCTGTTTCGTGCCCGCCTGTCATTTGTTTAAGGCAATACTACTCGAGTATGCCAAACGAGATCTCTCACTAGATCAAACTTTTCAATTTTTCCCATGGTTTACCAAGGAGCCCGACCAAGCCCATACCGGTTCGAATCCAAGGTTCGCCAATGAGATGTGGGCATCCCCCAAGCATGTTCGAGTGTCAAGGAGATTCACTCCAATGACGTATGCAGCCATAGCATACTATTTCAAGTCAAGCAAGCAAGTAACATGTGCAAGCAATTGAGACATTCGAGTATTTCAAGTGTGAGTCATTTATTTCAAGCGAGAATGGGTGCGATAAAGTACACCCCCGTCTCGAATTTTGAAATCTCAAGTATCAATAACAAGTAAACATGTATCTGGTTCACAGTAGTTCAAGTAACACACACTTGACACTCACCAAGTAAAACGAGAAGAAAAGGGCACTCGAAGTTTAAGCGTCCACCATGGGATCCTCTTGAAGTTTCTCTTGGGTGCCTGAGCAATTAACAATAGACTATTACTAACAATCCCCAAACAATGAGGAGAGTTGCACACTAACACGGTCTAGAAAGTACCTCGAAAATCGAGTTTAAGTTCCTTTGAAAATCTAGATCGGGTTTCCTTTTTTTTTTATATCGAAACTCGAACGAGTTATAAGACTCGAGAAAAGAAAAAAAATATGGATTTACTATCCTTAAAATCATTGGATAGGAACGAGTACGTGCGAATAATTCTCGAAACGAACGACCGAAGTCGAAAGTGGACTGGTCACGTCACAATCCGGCCGGAATCTGGCCGGATATCCGGCCGGATTCTTGACCGGATTGGAGGCAGTAGCCATCCTCAATTTTTTTCAAATCTCAACAGCAATCCTGCCGACTATCCGGCTAGAAACTGGCCGGATTCCAACAAAATGCTTCCCGCGCGAATTTCATTTCAAATGTTCAGAATTTTTTATTTTTGGTACAATCTTTGAAAAATCATAACTCATTCTTCGATTGTCAAAAATTGGTAAATTTGGTACCGTTGTAAATTTCTTTTAATGTACTAAAAATTCTTAGAAGGAACCATTCCACCAATCTAAGCGGAAGGTATTCAAATTTGAGCTTGAAGATGATAACTTGCGTTATCAAGGTAGGTTCAAGTTGATTTTTGACCAACTTTGGAAATTCGGCAAAATTCACTCGATTTGAAATAGTCTCTAAAATTTGCAATTCTATTAGTGTTGCAATCCAAGTTTACAACAAAGCAAGCAGAACAAGAAGCGGAGTTGTAAGCACCAAGATATGGTAGCTCAAAGTTACCCAAATTTCCTTGTTAAACAAGGGTTTTCCAATATCAAGTCTTGAACTTTGGTAATTTAGTCAAGTAGCGAAATGGACTCAGATTGATACCAAATTTGGCAGTATAATAGTCCTATATAAAGGGTATCCCTCTATCAAATTTCTTGGAAAAATACCTTCAGGAAGGTAGTCAACCAAACAACTAAAGTTTCGAAAATCCTAAGGCAGAACTGCCTTGAACTTCTTGGTGTTCCATTCCAAACATTTGGTCAAGGAAAATCCGTCAAACATGGTTTATTTGTGTAGGAAAAACCTGAGGAACATTCATGGTACATTTGGTAAGTGTTTTAACTTCAAGAAATTCAATTGGCAAGTCCACACCAAGTCTAGCATCAATTTTGCCCAAAATTTAGGATTTTCAAGAACAGGGCAGGTTTCGTATTTTGATCACAAATCACTCAATTCAACTCGAAATTAAGCATGGTTGGTGGCGTTGAAAAATACATTCATAAAAATATAATTTCACAGAAGAAATCGTTTTGAAATTCAATACCCAACTAGCTCAAATTCGAGTCTCAAGTTGTAGCCTCTGTACTTCGTTCCAGGAAACTAGAGAAACAGGACAGTCATCTTAAAATGGTTGGTACGGAATACTCGGGTGGAATTAGAGATTTCATTTTATACTGTTGGAAATCTGGAAATGTCTAGTTTCAAATGCCACTGACGGCACTTGATTTCAACATCGGAGCACAGAGTTATGGGTGAAACAAGAAGGCTGTCTGAGCATTACGGGAAAATTTTCCAGGTTTACTAGCTTTGCAAGAGTAATCTATTTGACCAACCAAACCTCAATATTTTTTGATGAAACTTTATACACCATCTATACAACATATAAACATCATATACAAGCCATCAAACCCTCAGAGTTTCGCAAAAAGGGGCTCGATCAAAACAGGGAGCAGAATTGGAAACTTTTTAGCCATGCAATCCTTGAAGTTTATACTAGCTATGCACCATTAATCTACCAATTTGAGCACTAAACCAACATTAAATCCATCATCAAGCATCACATCAGCCATCAATCCAAGAGTGGGAGTTCATAGAGCCCACCTTCCAAATTTTCCAACAATAACAAGCCACCCACATGAATACAAGAGCTTAAAGGTGTACTAGAACTTCCATAAATCAAAACTAGAAGGTTTGATCATTACTTACTTTGGTTGATGAGCTAAGGAGAAATTTCGGTCCTCTCTTGGTCCAAGAAAACCGTGGAAAGCTCCCTTTTTTTGTAGCTAGATGAACTCTCCAAGTGTTAAGCTAAGTATGGTTAAATTTTGGTGGCATTTGGTGGTGTTTTTGTTGAAGAAATGAGGATGAAAAATGAAGAACTTGGGTGTTGTTTTTGCAGCATGATGGGCGGCTGTTCTTGTGAGGAAGAGAGAGAGAGTTGATAAAAAATGTAGCTTCCTTGAGAAGCTTCAATGTGTGGCTCAAGTTGGTGCACAAGTCAACTCTCCTCAGCGCATATACGCGCGCGTTTTGTGCTCGATTCCTCTGGAGTTTATTTCACTAGCGCACTAAACCTCCAATACACTTATATTCATATGAATATTATTCACTCTTAATTGTCCCAAAATAATGGTTTAAAGTCCATCAATTAATCGCGCGCGCGAAACCGCATATTTCCAATTTAGACGTGATAAAGTGAAACCTTCGAGAAATTCTTATAACGATCGTACCACTAACTATCACTTGAGTACTTAAACCTAAAATTACCTATTTTAGGACCATTGTACATGTCTCCAAATTTTCGAGCTTATTATACTCCCAATTGGCTAAAATTTTCAAACACATTTTCACTATTTTCATTAATCGCTTCTAAAAATTAATTTTTGATACGAGTCACTTTAAAAATATAATGAAGCCATAATTCCATGTATTTAAGTCTAATAAGATTAGAAAATAATAATCAGAGCAAATATTCAGATAAGTAAATAAATGAGCAAAAATAAGAGTCGAAAAATAATAATTTTTACGAGTCCTCACATCCTCTCCCCTTTAAGAAAAATTCGTCCTCAAAATTTACCTTGATTGGTGAACAGGCCTGGATACTTTTCTCAAATTGCTTCTTCAACCTCCCAAGTTGCTTCCTCCAACCCATGGTTCTTCCAGAGGACTTTTACTAATGGTATCTGTTTATTCCTCAATTCCTTCACTTTCTATCCAGAAGCTTAACCGGTTTCTCTTCATAGGTTAAGGTCTCATCAATTTCAATACTCTCTGGTTGTAAGACATGTGAAGGGTCAGGGTGGTACTTCTTAAGCATCGACACATGGAATACATTATAGATTCCAGATAAACTCAGCGGCAATTCCAATTTGTATGCTACATTTCCTACACGCTGAATAACCTTGTAAGATCCTACAAACCTTGGTTGTAATTTCTTTCCCTTTCCAGACAGCAAACTTGCTTTCAATGGTGTGATCTTGAGGAACACTAGATCTCCAACCACGAATTCTAAATCCTTTCTCCGATTATCGGCATAGCTCTTTTGACGGCTCTGGGCAGCCTGGATCCTCTGGTGAACCAACTTTACCTTCTCATTAGCTTCCTCAATCCATGACATTGTGGTTGGATCTAAGATCTTCCGTTCACCTACTTCCTTCCAACAAATCGTAAATCTACACTTTCGACCATAAGACGCTTCATACGGAGCCATTTGAATAGAAGAATGGAAACTGTTGTTATAGGCGAATTTCACTAAAGTCAAAAACTTACTCCAACTCTCCCCAAAATCTAGAACACAAGTTCTCAACATATCTTCAAGGGTTTGAATTGTCCTTTCAAATTGTCCATCAGTCTGGGGATGATAAGTAGTACTAAAGTTCAGTTTAGTCCCTAACACTTCTTGTATCTTTTGCCAGAATCTCGAAATAAATCTTGGATCTCTATCCGACACGATACTGACAGGGATTCCATGTATCCTAATGATCTCATCAAAATACAACTTGGCCAACTTCTCCAATCGGTACTTCATGTTAATCGGCAGAAAATAAGCCGATTTGGTCAATCTATCCACTATTACCCAAATCGCATCATGGACTCTCTGTGTTCTTGGTAATCCCGATACAAAATCTATGGTGATATTCTCCCATTTCCACTCAGGTATTTTTAGAGTTTGCAAAAGTCCCAATGGTTTCTGATGTTCGGCTTTAACCTGTTGACAAATTAAGCATGTTTGGACAAATTGAGCAATCTCCTTCTTCATGTTCTCCTACCAATACAGACTCATTAAGTTTTGGTACATTTTATTCCCTCCTAGATATACCATAAACTTTGATCGGTGTGCCTCTTCTAAAATTTCCTTTTTAAGCCCTTCATCCTTTGGCACAACTACCCGATTCCGAAATCTCAATACACCATTTGATCCCAAGTTAAAGTCCGACTTGTCCCCCTTTTTAACCTTTTCCAACCACTTCTGCACTTCAGTGTCCTTTCCTTGAGATTCCTTGATACGTTCCATCAAAGTGGAATTCAATACAATATTTTCCAAAATTACTTTCCTCGGTTCCTGTTGAGGATTCCAATAACTAACTTCTTCCAATAATTGGAATTCCTTAATCCTTAATCCAGCCATCTGTACTTGACGACTCAAAGCATCAGCCACTACATTAGCTTTCTTTGGATGGTACTTAATCGTACAGTCATAGTCTTCCAAAAATTCCATCCATCTACGTTGCCTCAAATTTAGTTCCTTCTGTGAAAATAAGTACTTAAGGCTTTTGTGATCAGTAAAGACTTCAAACGCTACTCCATACAAGTAATGTCTCCATTTCTTTAAAGCAAATATCACCGCTGCCAATTCCAAGTCATGGGTCGGGTAATTCCCCTCATGCGGTTTCAATTTTCTAGAGGTATATGCTATCACCTTGTCATTTTGCATCAAAACATACCTCAAACCTTTCTTAGATGCATCTGTGTAAACCACAAAACTATCCTTCCCATTAGGTAGAGCTAATACAGGGGCTTTGGTTAAGCGTCTTTTCAATTCCTGGAAACTCTCTTCGCACTTAAGACTCCAAATAAACTTCCCACTTTTCTTAGTCAGCTCGGTCATTGGTCCAGCAATTCTAGAAAAAATTTTGATAAATCTCCGGTAATTCCCTGTTAATCCAATAAAACTCCGAACCTCGGTAGGGTTTTCCGGTCATTTCTATTTCGAAACAGCTTCAACTTTAGCTGGATCCACTTTAATCCCATCCTTAGAAATTATGTGTCCCAAGAAAGTCACTTCTTTTAACCAGAACTCACACTTGCTAAACTTAGCATATAATTGATGTTCCCTCAAAGTTTGTAAAACAATTCTCAAATGCTTTTCGTGATCCTTCACATTCTTAGAATACACCAATATGTCATCAATAAAGACCACCACAAATTGATCTAGATAAGGTTTAAAGACCCTATGCATTAAATCCATGAAAGCAGCAGGTGCATTCGTTAACCTAAACGGCATCACGGCAAATTCAAAATGCCCATATCTCGAGTTAAAAGCAGTATTGGGTATGTCCTTCTCCAAAATCCTCAACTAATAATAACTCTGTCTCAAATCCAACTTCGAGAATACTACAATCCCTTGCAATTGGTCAAATAATTCATCAATGTGGGGCAAAGGATACTTATTCTTAATAGTGACCTTATTCAAGCCTCTATAGTCAATACATAGCCTCAAACTTCCACCCTTTTTCTTAATGAATAAAACCGGGGCTCCCCACAGAGAATCACTCTCTTTTATAAAACATCTTTCCAGCAAGTCTTGCAGTTGCAGTTTCAACTCCTTCAATTCCGCTGGAGCCATCCGATATGACGTCTTAGAGATAGGTGTCACTCCCGGAGTTACATCAATCTTAAAAGCTATTTCCCGTTGTGGAGGCAGAGACTCTAACTCTTCGGAAAAAACATCTGAAAAGTCTTTCACTACAGGCATATCCTCCAATTTCACCTTATCACTAGGGGTGTTAATAAGAAAAATCAAATACCCTTGAGCACCTTCTCTTTTTCAAAAAGCAAAGATAAGGATTTTCCAGCCTATCTTACATTCAGCACTTATCTATATCGATGACATTCTTCTTTTCAGCAATACTTTTGAGGAACATCTTGAGTTGCTTAAAGATTTTCATCATCTTGTTAAGCAATATGGGATAATGCTTTCTGAAAAGAAAATGTTTTTGGCCCAGCAAGAAATTTCATTCCTTGGCATGAAAATTGCTAAAGGAAAATGTACTCCTGAACAGCATGTTGGACACTCTGTTAAAAATTTCCCTGAAGAAAATCTTTCAAAAACACAAGTCCAGCAATTCCTTGGTGTTGTTAACTATGTCTGGGAATTTCTTCCCAAAGCTTCCAAGCATATTAGTCCTTTGACTAAAATGCTCAAAAAGAAACCTCCACCATGGGGTGTTTCACAAACCCGAGCAATCCAAAACCTCAAGGAAGAACTTCAAAATCTTCCTACACTTCATATCCCATCTGATGGGAAAAAGATCTTACAGACAGATGCCAGTGATAAATATTGGGGAGCTGTACTACTTGAAGAAGATGAACAGGGAACAAAGCATTGTTGTGGATTTGCCAGTGGAAAATTCAAAGTTTCTGAACAGCATTATCATTCCACATTCAAAGAAATCCTTGCAGTAAAGAATGGTATAACGAAATTCTCTTTTTTCCTTATATCTCATCATTTCTTGGTTGAAATGGATATAGGATCATTTCCTAAAATGCTGCACTTCAAGCAAAACCTTGTCCCTAATCCCCAACTACTCAGATGGTCAGCATGGTTTTCCCAATATTCTTTTGATGTCAAAAATATTAAGGGGAAAAAGAACATTGTTGCTGATTTCTTCTCAAGGCAAGAACCTTTACTTCAACAAGCCTTGACAACCTCTGCTTCACAGTATTTTATGTTCTCACCTATTTCTTCTGAACCCCCAGATATTCATCAAATTCCTTATCCATGGGAAAAAGAAGATATTGAAAGAATCCGAAATCAATATGAACTCGAAATATTCAGCTCATATGGAGGATCAATCTTAAATCCCTTTGGAACAAATCCTGAATACCCTTTCTGTCAAATTTTCATTGCCAGACATGATGATTTTCCAAAATCCCTAATACCCTTTCTGTCAAATTTTCATTGCCAGACATGATGATTTTCCAAAATCCCTATTATGGTATTTTTGGTGTCTTTGCCATCAGTATCATATTCTTATGGAATTTCAATCACTATTTTTTAATCAGCCATTAAATCCAAACCTTCAAACTTTTCTGCAATGGTTTCGCCCATTAACATATTGGTCTGGATTATTCTCAACCCAGTCTAAATATATTATTTTCCATTTCCATAGACCCTGTCACTTGATAAACAATCAAATCCAATCCTGTCCAAGTGCAGTACTTTATAAAGAAATGGATCATACTATTTTAGACCTTGATGATGAATATGAGGAAGCACAGAGATATATTTTTCAGGAAAATAGATGCATTCCTCCTAAAATTTGGCCTGGTCATTATGGTTCATGGAACTACCACTCTAATCACCCTCATTGGACTAGAATCAAACGAGCAAAAAGAGAATACCAGGACAAAATGAATGACACTGTGATGCAGGATTCTCAAGATCCATATGATGGAACAGGAACATCTCAAGATCCATATGATGGAACAGGAACATCACAAGGTTCCACAGCAACCTCAGCAGTCTTTTCCTATATTTTGAAAAACGGACCAGAATGGAAAAACATTGAAAATAGAAGGAAGAATAAACCGGCACATCAACATCATATTGAAATGCTTAACATTACTGATCCAGATACTACTCCATCAGACACACCAGATGATGATTTCCAGTGAGCCTGGAATGATGTTGATATGGAAGGGTCCCCCTGAAAAGTGTTGTTTACTTTTCTGAAGAGTCAAGTGTTGTTTACTTTTCCGAAGAGTCAAGTGTTGTTTACTTTTCCGAAAGGCCATTTGTCTTGAAAGGCCAAGTCTACTTGTATAAATAGATGACATCCTTCAGTAGGAAGGATCATCCAAGTTTTATCGCAGAATTATCAAATAAAATTCCAAGTTTGCTTATATCCCTCATGGAGTTCTAAACTTCTATTTTTCACCAGGGAAGGCCGAGAGATCCTTATAGCTGTGTGATTGCTTAGATTTCTATAGCTCTGCTATACTTTGTTCTTGTGATAAAAGTCCCTTGAACTTTTGAAAGCCCAAAGGAGAGAGGCTGTTGTGTTTGGGAATACCTTCAAAGAGCAAATTATGGCCCTGATATGGTATCTAAGCAGGCACTCTGGTATTTGGTATCAGAGCCAACCCTGGTGAATCTCTTTAGACAGAAATTCCTATTTCTTTCCATTTCTGAGAGGCGCACTGGAGAAACCTCATATGAACCAAACCCTGAACCTAGGGTTGACCCCAATGTCCAAATAGCTGCTGCCATGCAGCAAATGACTGATTTGCTAGCCCAAGTGGTGCACCAACAAGGTCAAAACCCTAACCCCAACCCTGGGAATCCTGGTAATCACATAGAGGGCGAGAATAGAGCCCTTGAGAGATTTCAAAAGT